GGGCTTGAACTCTGGGCCTGGGGGCTTTCCCTCAGCTCTTCAGCTCAAGGCTAGTGCTCTACCACTTGAGCCACAGTGCCACTTCTGGTTTTTTTGAGTGGTTTATTGTAGATAAGAGTCTCAGGGACTTTCCTGCCCTGAGATCCTCAGATCTCAGCCTCCTGAGTATCCAGGATTACAGGGGCTCAGTGAAAGATTCTTTATCTCCAACTGTGGCTCAAGTAGTACAGCCTTGAGCAGAAAAGCTAAGGGACAGCACCTAGGCTCTGAGTTCAAGCCCCAGGACCAGAACACACACACACACACACACATACACACACACACACACACACATGCATGTGTACATGCAATACTTTTTGTTATTAGACTTCTGGCTTGAACTCAGGGCCTGGGCTGAGCTTCTTTTTTGCTTAAGGCTAGCACTCTACCACTTGAGCCACAGTGCCATTTCTGGCTTTTTCTGTTTATGTGATACTGAGGAATGGAACCCAGGGCTTCATGCATGCTAGACAAGCACTCTACTAGTAAGCCACATTCCCAGCCCTCACATGATACTTACTTAGTTCAGGGATCCCATGCTTTAACAGAGCCTCAATCAGCTTACCTAATATGGAAGGTTAACTCTCCATGTACCTTCACTAGGGTTTCCATGTGTGTTCAAGTCACACTGGCATCTGGCCAGTCCTCTGGCACAGTACCCTTTGTAAAAATAGGTCACATACACTTTCTAATCATTTCATAATTTTCTAGACAAGCTTTTTAAACTCTAGGGTGCAAGCCATACTATTGCAATCAAATAGCTGGTTTGTTCATCAAAGTCTACAGCACACTACACTTTCTATCAGAGGTGACCATTCTGAAACAGTCAGATTTCCCCTAATGTCTCTTAAGAGCAGAAAGATTCAAATGCTCACGTCATTGAGATCTTATTTCTCTTTAGCTTCCTTTTCACTCAGGGCCCTGGTCTTTGTCTCTTTTACTCAATGTTTGCTCTTCACACCCTTCTCAAGCCTACAATCTCATAAAACTTTTCTCTAGTTTGCATACTCACCCGATCACGTCCACTCTTAGCCAATGAGACATTGGCAACAGGGAAGGAGCAGAGCGAGGTGGTGGTGGAATCACAGTCGGTCCTAAATGAGAAGAGGGCAATGATCCTCTGCTAAGTTAAGAGTTTACCTTGCCTGTCTCTCCACCCATTTTCTTGGCCTTCTACTTCACTTCTGTCTGTTAAAGAGAACAGGGGTGGCCAGGAGGTTTGAGATGCTAGAACAATACTTTCTCTTCCTGGCACTTCAGTATAGCGGACATTCTTAGATAGAAACCTATGGACCTAATGTTTCTAAACACTCATGGAGGATCCCACCTCCAGATTAGGATCCAAGAGTTCTGACTTGGGGCCTAGTTTGAAAATGCATGAGGTGGGTGGGTATGCAGCATGTCTGGGCATGCAGGTACTTTCATGAGAGGATAGGTTACAGGTTTCATAAGATCCATATCTCTTATAAGTTCAAGATCTACCTGAGAAACTACAATTCATGAGTATGGATTTAGGAGAGGAAAAAAAAATTTGTTTTTTTTGTGCTAGTCCTAGGGCTTGAATTCATGGCCTGAGTGCTGTCCCTGGTTTTTTTTTTTTTTTTTTTTTCAGTCTTGGTGCCTGAACTCTGGGCCTGGGCACTGTCCCTCAGCTTTTTTGCTCAAGGCCAGTGCTTTATTACTTGATTCATAGCTCTACTTTTGGCTTTTTGGTAATTTATTGGAGATGAGAGTCTTATGGACTTTTCTGCTCAGGCTGGCTTTGAATTGTGACCCTCAAATCTCAGCCTCCTACAATTACAAGCGTGAGCCATTAGTGCTCAGCCTCTTCATATATTTTATATTATTATTATTTGGTGGTACAATTCCATAGATCAGATTATTATGAGTGCAATGCTTCTTGGCCAATGTCACCCCTTGCTTTCTAATTTTTTAGTCAGAATTCAGTGACAGCGGTGGAACTAGGACCTGAGCTCCACACAGTCTAGATCTGCTGCATCCTCCAGTGGTGAAGGTTAGTCCTATTAGCAGAATGGACTCATCTTTCCTCCGCTGTAAATAAGAGGACCGAAGAAACTCCAAAAGGCTCCCAGCAACTCTCATCGAGCCCCTCTCACCTGTAGTAGAAATGCACGGGGCTGAGGTGGCTGACTGTTGGCATGTAGGAATAATAGAAGGAGCCATAGAGGAACACAGACACCCACAGCAGGAGGAGGATGGTGCAGAAGAGCACCCCAAACTGTAGCAGCAGCCTGCGGGCACGGCCTGCCAACACATGGCCCACTTCTTGTGCCCACAGCACGGCAGGCACTGGTGGGTCATTGACCATGGCGGGGAGAGGAGGTGGTCTGGGCCCAGGTTCAGGTCTTGAGTTCTTAGCTGCTGCTCTGCCACATGGACGCCACCCCTGGCCATGGGATGAGGCAGTTGGAGGTTCCTGGAAAAAAAGAGAAGGGGAAAGCTGGGGATAGAAAAGACATACGTGGCTTCGAGGGACAAGAAATAGGAGGACAACGCAAAATCACTGTTCCCTGGGACCCTTCTCCAAGTGATGGCGCTTCTCTGCCAGCTACCCCTTCCCTTTCACAGCAGTGCCAGAGTTCCTCATCTAACTCGTCCCCCAGCCATCTGGGTCAGGGACACGCTCTCAACAGCGAGAATGGGCTCCTTACAACTCTCTCAGCGCGCTGCACAGAGACGCTGCACGACTTGCCTGAGGTAGCACAGCTGGACTCGGAAGCCCGTAGTCTAAGGGCAGTCACAAAAGCCTCCCAAGTCTCTCCCCTTCACCTCAGGATGATAAATGCCCGCCGAGGCGCGCCTCACATGGGCAGGGCGTCCCACAGTCAACGGCCACTCCCCGCCGGTGCCCTCCGGCTGGCCAGCGCGCTCAGCGCCGGAGACCCCACCCCCCACCCTCAGACCCCCGCGCCGCGCCGCGCCGGGCCGCGCCACCATGGAAACCAGCGGGTCAGACGCCGCAGCCCGGCCCTCACCAGCCTCTCGCGTGCGCTGCCGAGGCAACCGCGAGAAGCGATTTCCGGCTGCAGGAGAAGCCCCGCCTCTTTCAGCCCGCAGCCTCCAGGGTCTAGGGGCGTGGCCTATCCCGGGGGCGGGAACCTGGCGCCGGGGGCGGGGCCCACTTGGTGAAGGGCTTCCCACAGCTCCTACCAGGGTCCAACACCTTTAGGTTAACGTGACCACTGGGAAAAGGCGCCTCCCACCAGGCTCTAACTATACCGAGGGCATACATGCTCTCGCCCTCCAGCCTATCTCATCTTCCTCCTTGTAACCCCAGGAGCCCAAACAGGGCAGGGGGCGGGGAGTGGGGGGATGGTAATGGTGAAGGGGGCTCTAATGTGCAGCTAGCACAGCTCCTAGGACCCGTGGGCGTCGGAGGAGAGGGTTCTTCCAGAGAATGACGCATTCTTCCTGAACCTGTGCAACTTGGTGTTGTGCAGGTGGCCTGCTGTCCGCTGTTTACAAAGCATGCATTTCAGCCCAGCGTTTGGTCCCCAGCTTGACGCTGCGTGACGGATCCTCCTTGGACCCTAAGTGGATTGATTCCGTTTTCCTCAGAACCCCTATAGAACTAGACATTTAAGTCTAGCCCTCCATCGGTGGCATCTTCTACTTCACATACGTCTAATTTAATCACCCCCAGATAAGGCACTGCAGAAGGCCAGGCCAGCGTTGTGTACATCTTTTTGCATGATGCTTCAATTTCACGTCAATATCCCCACGCAGCTTGTCACCCCCACACTCCATCCCGGGAAGCCCATTTATTTTCAAAATATTTCCACTGATCCCTTTACAAGCCTTACCTCCTCCTTGTCCGATCCTTTGATCTGGTCTCCGCATCCCTCTTTTCCTCCAGCTTCTCTTGTGTCTGTCATTTCTTTAGACATCTTCCCGACGATTCCCTCCGCTGCCCTTGGATCTCCCACTCGAGTCACTTTTGGCTAGAACGTGGGGATCTAGCAGCGGACCACCTGTACGCATCACATTTTCCTGGATGTGGGGAATGGAGGGTCACTGCAAGAAATGAAGACTCAGACGCTAAATGCTGTGTCAGGGTAGAGGGAGAAAGGGAGGAGGGGGGCGAATGGCCAGCTGATGTCAGATTTTCAAATGAGCAGGGTCCCCCGCAACCAAGTGTACTCTACTGCAGAGACTGTCACAGGCCTAGACCACCTTCATTTAAGGGGGGAGTCTGTTTCCGCCTGAGTTCCTTTGGGGAGGGCTCTAGCCGAGACTGGGGACTTCTGCAATGGGGGAGGGGCAGGGAGAGAGACAGTAAGGGTGGGGGTGTGCGCAGGGGATGCAGGCAGCAGCCAGGCTCCCCCACTGGCCAAGCAGTTGGTATGTTCCAGGATCTGAGCAGTTCCTTCCAGCATCCTTCATCCTTCAGGTACCAGCCATCTGGGCAGTGAGTGCTTGAATTGCAGAAACGGTGACTACCCCCCCACCCCCTCCCACGGACCTCTGGTCTGACCAGAGGCCTCTGGAATAGCTGTTTGTGCTACAGACATCTTCGGTTGCAACTGCCTGCAGGGGTGGGGCACCCATCTGAGGCAGGGTTTGGTGCCCCGCACTCACCGGACATCCCAAGGAGGCTGCTACTGCTGCCGCCTGTGGCTTCAGGTGAGTAAGGGAGTCATTGTTTCTCTCCCACTGGCAATTTAGGGGACAAGTGGGGCTGAGGTGATGGCCTCATCAGGGTAGGGCCTTTTCTGGCTGAAGCGTTCACAGCAGGTGACTTGAAGAGCTGAAAAGCTTTAAAATCATTTGTATAGTCTGATCACCTCGGTTCCAGACCGTGTGGGAATTTGGGGAAGATTTTCTTGGGACAGGCCTCTAAGAGGGGTGGGATAGGAGGAGAAGAAAATGTTGGGGCACCACCCAACCTTGTAAAGGTTGGTGAAGAGTGAGCGTGAAGCTGAGACAGCGCTGAGCTGTGTCTCTCTTCTCTTCTAGGATGAAAGGGGAGACTCCAGTGAACAGCACTATGAGTATTGGGCAAGCTCGCAAGATGGTGGAGCAGCTTAAAATCGAGGCCAGCCTGTGCCGGATAAAGGTGGGTGGGGCCCGGGCTCCCGTTAATTCATAGGCTCGGATGGGCAGTTTCCCCAGCAGATAAGAGTTGCTCCTTTCCTTGACTCCCGGGGGTCTGCGGCTCTGATGGGAGAGCCCGCCCTAGGCCTTTGTAGGGGTGAAAGCGAAGGCTGTTGCCAGGAGCCCTTTTGGGGAAGAGAGGCTGCATCTTCCAGGGTTCTTGCTAACTCTCCCCTCCCTGGCTGTGCCCCAGGTGTCCAAGGCAGCGGCAGACCTGATGACTTACTGTGATGCCCACGCCTGTGAGGACCCCCTCATCACTCCGGTGCCCACTTCGGAGAACCCCTTCCGGGAGAAGAAGTTCTTCTGTGCCCTCCTCTGAGCTGCCCCTTCCCTCCTCTCCGTCCCTCCCTCTCCCTCTCCAGAGCCCTTCCTTCCTTAGATCGGTCACTGCGGGGACCCGGGAGGCTCCCCGCAGCCCTTTCCTCGCCCTGTGACATCACCTGAAGCACAGAACCTTCCGCACCCACGTCTATCCCGTCTCCTCACCCCTGAGGCTGACCCCCCAGCACCCCGTGATTCGGGCACCCTCCGCCCCACCCACAGAGGGGTCCCCCGCGGGGCTGCCAGCCTGCAGCTGGCCCCCTCCCTCGGTGACCCGCCGGAGACAATGGGGAGAGGGATGTGCGGGGGGCTGGCTCCCGGGCTCGGCGGGGGCCATGGCGAGGGGAAACCCGTTTGAGGAATAAAGTCACCCGAGCCGGCGGGCAGCTCCGGGGTCAGCGTTCTTGGGGGCAGGGTCGTCGGTCACTAGGCTTGCCATGCCCGGGGAACCACTGGACGACCGGCGCTCCCCGGGGCCGGGCACGCGGGCGCCCCCAGCGGGGGCCGCGGAGACAGCGGCCTGGGCGGAGCGGGGCGGCCTCGCACTCACCGCGCCAACGGCCGGCCGGGCGGCGGGAAAGCTGAACAGACGCGACCAGGTAGGGGCGGGGGTGGGGGGGGCAGGGGCCGCGGGGGCCGAGCCCGGGAAGGGCAGTTACCGGCACGGACGGGCGGGGGAGGGCCGACTCCGGATCCGGGAACCCGCAGGGGCGGGGCGCGGCTGGAAAGGGGCGGCAGGTGCCTAAGATGGCCGCGCCCGCTGCCGCCCGTCCAAGATGGCGGCCCCCGTGCCTCGGAGCCCCGCCGTACAGGGCGACTCTTAAAATGGCGGCTCCCAGGTGCCCAACATTCCCAATATGGTCCTCTCCGTACTCATCAGGTCTCGAAATGGCTGCTCCCTCCCACGCCCCAGTGGGGGTCCGCGTCCTCCCGTGTGGCGCCCCGGGCGCACGGGCCGCTCCGGCGAAGGGCCCCTGGGCCAGGGGTCCCTGCACGCACGGCGGGGTGGGCCCCGGGATCCCGAGGGAATCAAGACTTGTCTACCTCCAGGAGACGCTCCCTTTGAGCACAGGTGTGGCGATGGGTGTGCGTGTTGGTGGCTGCTTCCTGGCCTCCCCACTGGCTTAATAAGCCCTTAAAAAAAAATGGTTCGGATTTCCTGGGGATGGATCCTTGCCTTCATTGTCCTCTCAGGACCATCTACCCAAGAAGTGTCTATTGCTAGTATGTCCGGGGGCCCAGCAGCCTTCCTACACAGAGACCAGATCCAACATGTAACACCTCACAAGCACCTGCTGGATTTAGGAGCCCAATTGCCTCCTGGAAGCCTTTTCCTACCCAGGGTGAACTAAGTGTCACTGGGCCAAGGCACAGAAGGTAACCCCAGGTGGCTGCTCCAAAGGGATCAAGATGTGACCTCAGGAACATCCCTCCCTAGAAAAGCCTAGACTCATGACTGGAGGTGCTTGGGAGTACCTGGCTGACTGAGTATATTTAAGATACATCCCTGTCACCTCAAGATCTCCCACACCTTCCTAAAGAGGGACAGCAGAGGGGGAAGACGAGATAAGAAATCAAAGGAATAAAGGTATATTGCTGGGCTGGAAACGTAGCTTAGTGATAGAGTGCTTGCCTAGCACGCATGAAGCCCTGGGTTCCATTCCTCAGTACCACATACACAGAAAAAGCCAGAAGTGGCGCTGTGGCTCAAGTGGCAGAGTGCTAGCCTTGAGCAGAAAACTCAGGTCAGTGCCCAGGCCCTGAGTTCAAGCCCCAGGAGTGGCACACACACACACACACACACACACACACACACACACACACACACACACAAAAAGTATATTGCTAACAACTGAGCTTAATTAGCCTAAGCATGTTTTTGTGAGCTACAGGGGAACCAAACTAACTTGGAATACATTCAGGAATACTCTCTTAAGCCCTAACAAGTCCTAGAGGTCATCTTACTAATTTCTTCATTCTAAACATGAACAAATAGGATAAGCAAGTACTTGGAGGGGACCAATGCCCCTTCTGTTCAGGAATATGCTTATTTCCAGATTTGTGGAAACTCCAGGGGGAATCAGCTGTTAAGATCCAAGCATACTGACAATGCTTCGCACACAGCAAGCACTCAAACACCTAATGAGTAGATTGTATGCAGAGAATAAGAACGGTTTCCGGGGGCTGGGAAGGTGGCTCAGTGGTAGAGCGCTTGCCTTGCATGCATGAGGCCCTGGGTTTGATTCCTCAGCACCACATAAGCAAAAAGAAAAAAAGCCGGAAGTGGCACTGTGGCTCAAGTGGTAGAGTGCTAGCCTTGAGCTGAAGAGCTGAGGGACAGCGCCCAGGTCCAGAGTTCAGGCACCATGATCGGACCAAAAAAAAAAAAAAAAGAACACTTTCCTCGAAGTGGCGCAGTGGCTCAAGTGGTAAGTGCTAGCCTTGAGCTGAAGAGCTAAGAGACAGCATTCAGGCCCAGAGTTTAATCCCCATGACAGCAAAAAAAAAAAGAACTCTTTCCTATCATTGTGATTTGCATCTGTGCTGGCACATATTACAGAACAGTGAGTGAAAATTTCCACATCAGCTCACACTTGGTAAAAAGGCAGAAAATTCTTGATAAATGTAGCTGACATTACTTCTATTTTTTATTTTTTTTGTCAGTCCTGAGGCTTGAATTCAGGGCCTGGGCACTGTCCCTGAGCTTCTTTTGCTCAAGGCTAACACTCTACCACTTGAGCCACAGTGCCACTTCTGGCTTTTTTATTTGGTACTGAGGAATGGAACCCAGGGCTTCATGCATGCTAGGCAAGTACTCTATCACTAAACCACATTCCCAACCCTGACATTACACTTTAAAAGTTCAGATTTTCTGCTCATAAAATTAGGGGTGGATATTGGTCTACTATTCGGAGTAGGACTGGGGGTGTTACCCAGTAGTAGAGCTCTTGCCTAGCATTTATTCGTAAAGCCCTTGGGTCCAAACCCCAGCATGGCTAAGAGGCAGCCTAGGTTTTTCTTTCTTTTCCCCTGTGGTTGTTGGTGGTTATGGGTTTGAACTTGGGCCTGGCACAAACCATGACTACAGCCCTCATTTTATCACTGAGTTTGAATGTCCTAGTGAATGGCAAACTCCTATGATCCCAGTATTCAGGAGGCAGGAAGATCATGAGTTTTATGCTAGCCTGGGTCAGGAAGAGAGGGAGGAGAGGGGAGGAAAAGAGAATGGAAGGAAGGGAGAGAGGGAAAGAGAAAAAGGTGGGAAGGGAGAGGGAGAAAGAAGGAGAGATCTTGTCTCAAAAATCAAAAGTCCTTGGGCCTGGGAAGGTGGCTCAGTGGTAGAGTGCTTGCCTTGCATGCATGAAGCCCTGAGTTCGATTCTCAGCACCACATAAGCAGAAAGAAAAAGCCAGAAGTGGCGCTGTGGCTCAAGTGGTATAGTACTAGCCTTGAGCTGGAGCTGAGGGACAGTGCCCAGGCCCAGAGTTCAGGCCCCACAACCAGACCCCCCCCCCAAAAAAAATCAAAAGTCCTGCCAATCACCAGTGTCTCAGGCCTGTAATCCTAGCTACTCAGAGGGAGATCAGAGGAAATCAGAAGCCAGATCAGGCAGGAAAAAGCCTGATAATTCGGACTAGGACTGGTAGCTTAGTTTAGAATGCTTGCCTAGCATGCATGAAGCCTTGGGTTCAATTCCTTATTAACAGAAAAACAGAAAAGGCTGGAAGTGGTGCTGTGGTTCAAGTGGTAGAGTGCTAACCTTGAGTGAAAGAAGCTGAGACAGTGCCCAGACCTTGAGTTCAAGCCTCAGAACTGGGGATAGGGTGTGGGGTGGGGGGAGTCTGAGAGTCTTACCTTTAATTAACCACCCCAAAAAAGCTGAAAGTATGCACTGGGAAGGTGGCTCAGCAGTAGAGTGCTTGCCTTGCATGTCCTGGGTTCCATTCCTCAGTACTATATAAGCAGAAAAATCTGGAAGTGGTGCTGTGGCTCAAGGGGTGGAGGGCTAGCCTTGAGCTGAAGAGCTGAGGGACAGCGCCCAGCCCAGAGTTCAGGCCCCATGACCAACCAAAAAAATAAACAAACAAAAACAAAAAGCTGAAAGTGGAGCTGTAGCTAAGCACTACAGCACTAGCCTTGAGCACAAAAGCTGAGACAGTGGTCCCCAGGCCCAGCACACACATGTCCAGGTAGGCTCTGGTGGTTCATGCCTGTAATCCTACCTAAATCTCAGGATTGTGGTTTGAAGCCAGCCTAAGCAGGTAAATCCAAGACTCCTATCTCCAATTAGCCGGGGAGGGGGGGTGGGAAGGCTAGACTGAAAGCATGGGAAGAATATGGAGTGGCACCCATGAGCCTGAAAGGCAGGCTAAGGTAGAGAGCATGATGTCCTAGCAGGTGTGTGTGTGTACACATATACACATACACACAAAAGAATAGGCAACCACCAAGGAGGGCCTTAAAGTATGTGTGAAGGCTCTAGAATTTGAATGTGTAACAGTTAAGGTATGACTTACATATCAGTATCTCTCAACACTATGTATGTAAGGCTATGAGCTTTAATTCCAAATGTCCTGATCAATTATTTATTGGTGCTCCTCCTGGGGCTTGAACTCAGCCTGGGCTCTGTCTCTGAACTTTTATTCTCAATCACTTGAACATTTCCAGTATTTTGTGATTAATTGGAAATTCAAGTCTCATAGACTTTCCTGCCTGGGCTGGCTTCAACCTGCCATCTTTAGATCTCAGCCTCCTGAGTTGCTAGGATAACAGGCCGAGTCACTGAGCCTGTAAACATTAAAATACCCAGCTGCTTTATTTTTTGGTGCCAATCTTAGGAGCTGTCCCTGAGGCTTTTTTTTCCTCAAGGCTAGTGCTCTACCTATTGAGCCACAACTCCACTTCCAGCTTTTTTTGGTAGTTAACTGGAGATAAGTCTCATGGACATTCTTTTTTTTTTTTTGGGTCCGGTTGTAGGGCCTGAACTCTGGGCCTGGGCGCTGTCCCTCAGCTCTTCAGCTCAAGGCTAGCGCTCTACCACTTGAACCACAGCGCCACTTCCGGCTTTTTTCTTATGTGGTACTGAGGAATTGAACCCAGGGCCTCATACATGCAAGACAAGCGCTCTATCACTGAGCCACCTTCCCAGTCCCCAGCTGGACATTCTTATTTTGGCCAGTCCTGGGGCTTGAACTCAGGGCTTGGGCACTGTCCCTGAGCTTTTTTTTTTTTTGCCATTTACCACTTGAGCCACAGCGCCACTTCTGGCTTTTTTCTATTTATGTGGTACTGAGGAATCAAACCCAGGACTTCATGCATGCTAGGCAAGCACTCTACCACTAAGCTCCATCCCCAGCCCTCAGAGACATTCTTGCAGGGGCTGGGAACCATGATCCCTCTCATTTTAGCCTCCTGAGCGGAGGTTGTGAGTTTTAAAATTCATTTTCTAGTCTGCAATAGCTCAAGCTCTTAGCATAAGCACAAATTATGCAGTCCGCCTCACTCCAAAGTGAATGAATGTATGCTTCCAAGTGAAGACATGATAGAAATAAAAATAGTAGCAATGAGATGAAGGTTATCCTTGGTTGTACCAGGTATAACCTGAGAAATGAGCATTAAAAAACAAATGGAGCTGGGCGCCAGTGTCTCATGTCTGTAATCCTAGCTACTCAGGAGGCTGAGATCTGAGGATTAATATTCAAAGCCAGCCTGGGCAGTAAAGTCCGTGAGACTCTCATCTCCAATTAACTACCAGAAAACCAGAAGTGGCTCTGGGGCTCAAGTGGTAGAATGCTCACCTTGAGCTGAAGAGCACAGGGACAGTGCCTAAGCCCAGAATTCAAGACCCACAACCAACCAACCAAAAAAAAAAAAAAAAAAAAAAGGCACCATGTGCCACTGGCTCACACCTATAATCTTAGCTACTTAAGGAGGCTGAAATCAGAAGATCACTGTTCAAAGCCAGCAGGGAAGAAAAGTCTCTGGGAATCTTCATCTCTAATTAACCAGCAAAGAATTGGAGCTGTGACTCAATTGATAGAATGCAAACCTTGAGTAAAAAAATCTAGTAGGAGCCAGGCGCTGGTGGCTCACGCCTGTAATCCTAGCTACTCAGGAGGCTGAGATCTGAGGATCGCAGTTCAAAGCCAGCCCGGGTAGGAGAGACCGTGAGACTCCTATCTCCAATAAACCACCAGAAAACCGGAAGTGGCGCTGTAGCTCAAGTGGTAGAGCGCTCACCTTGAGCTGAAGAGCTGAGGGACAGCACCCAGGCCCAGAGTTCAAGCCCCACGACCCGCAAAAAAAAAAAAAAAAAAAAAAAATCTAGTAGGGCCCAGATGTTGATTTCAAGTCCCAGTACCAGAAAAAGAAATTATTATTAATAATAAAAGCCAAACATGTAGGTGTGGGGGCTGGGAAGGTGGCTCAGTAGAGTGCTTGCTTTGCATGCATGAGGCCCTGGGTTCGATTCCTCAGCAAAAAGCCGAAAGTGGCACTGTGGCTCAAGAGATAGAGCACTAGCCTTGAGCTGAGGGACAGTGCCCAGGCCCAGAGTTCAAGCCCCATGACTGACAAAAAAAAAAAAAAAAGGGTAGGTGCGACTTAAGTAGTAGAGCACCAGCTTTGAACAAAAGTGCCTAGACTGAGTTTAGCCCTAGTACCAATACCAAAAAAACAAAAACAAAAAATTAGTGCAAACATCCCAAGAATACACTCACTCCACCCCAGTCAGTGCAGCCACAGAAGGTAGAGGGAATTCAATCCAAATGGTTATTTATTCTAAAACTGGAAGCTACTGTGCCTACATTTATTTTTTTTTTTTGCCAGAATGTTGTAAAGAAAACAGGGGAGGAAAAAGTTACAGATGTAAACAATGACACAGTTACATTTTTTTAAATGGTAAACCCTTTTTTACTGGCCACTTCCAAGAATGCTTTACAGGTTGTGCAAAAAATATTGACAGGTTCCATGTGGTGTTTTTCTCACAAGCTTTTCCATCTACAACTACAACAGACATCTGATAAAACACTAAACAAGTCTAAGGAAAACAAGGCCAGAGTTCCCTCCCATTACCATAATCCACATACATTCCCTCCCCCCTGAACATTGCTTTTCCATAATAAAAACACAAGACAGAAACAAAATCCAGACATCCACTGTTGCTGCAAGTGATCTCTTGGGCTGAACCCCCAAGGATACGGCAGTTTCATTCTCTATACCTAGAAAAACAGCTTTTAGAAAAAGATGACTTTTCTGATGTCAAAACAAATAGCAAGTACTCTCCTAAACACCCCCCTCCCAAGTGGTATAAGCTTTGTCCCCCTGCCTGAGGGCAAACACCCCCATCCAAGTCATAGACAAGATGCACTTCATTGGATGAGTGAGCACATGTAGGGGGGTAGAGCAGCCTCTGAAAATTAACTTTGCTACTATAAACATAATCTTGCCCTAAGGGAATTTCTTTGGGCTCTAGTTTTCATGCTCTTGCCCTGACTCTAGGAGCAAAGCTTTCTCAAACTCCCATAATAATAATAATACTACTAAAGCTAGTGGGCTCCAGAAGGTTCAGGCCATCACTCCACTGCCACGCACAAATCCATTTTGGCACCCACACCAAGTAGGTACCAAGAGAAAACAAAACATCATTGCGAGGGATTTATCTACCAGCCCCATTCCAGCCTTGGGGTCAAAGGTACATGAGCAGAAGGGCGTGTCCCAACTGGGATGGTCAGAGGGCTGAGGGTCTGTACACCTAGAAAAGCACTGCACAGCAGGGAGAGTGGGAGAGGCAGAGAATGATTCAATCCCAGCACAAAATTTCAAACATGAACTGCCCATGTGCAGAGGTTAAAGTGAGGCATTTTCTACTAGCACAGTCCAGGGTGTTCTCTCATTTGCAAGTGCTGAGTTCATGGTGCTTTGCCCAGTACACTCTTGGTTGACATAATGCTGAGCAGAAAGATGAACTAAAACTGAAGTTGAATATTCAAAGAGCATTCCCATATCCTACCCATGTTTTTGAACTTATAGCAAGTTATAGCTGTTCTGTCAAGAGCTAGCAGGGTACTGGTAAAGCTACAAATTAAGGGATTCTAACTGAAATCTCTTGAGGAGATGCGTTTCTGGGGACACCCAGGGAAGCACCTCAAAAGGAATCTTGTTCCAAGAAGTCTGGTAGGGGTGCTCCTTGCACACGCACATGCATACAAGTTCACACATTCCTCCAAAGTTTCAGCAGCCCCACTGAGCTGCCTCCCCTCCCCCCCACCCTCCCATACTATTCACTTTCTACCTGTGTATCAAAAAAAACAGCAGGGCAGAGGCCCTCCCATACTGTATAAAATAGTTGCTATTCTCAGCACCTGGGCCTGGGAGCCCATACCACAGGATTCCCCTATATACATGTCCTGCTGCGGCGAGCAGAGTCCTGCTGCATTTCTGTGAGCTGAAACCCTGAGAATTGTTTCTTCTCTCGCACTGTAAGAGGCAGACACTCTTAACAGATGATTATTTAGAGGCCTCCCGCTTCTCTTAACTCGGAAGACAAGAGACTATAGACTGGCAAATCACAATCTTCAGACTGAGGGCTGCAATTCCACTCTCCCCTCTATAGGAATTCACTAGTAGGTACACGGAGGGGGCTAAGCTATCCTGTCCTGCAGTCCAGAACAGTCCACAGGCCCCCTTGGCCTGGGAATCCTATATAATAGAACCGCCCAACCAGAGTCTCTGTGCCTCAGCTACACAGCATCAAGGCACAGCAAAGTGGACACTGGGACACTCTGGCCTCCCAGCCCACCAGACCAGATATCCCAAGAGGGAGAGGTCGGTAAAGAAAATACAAACGGTTAGTTGGTGCATGTGATTGATAAGAGCCAATCGTTTATTTTCACTGTCCCATCACAGCGCTCCCCTATCCCACTCCTGCCTGCTCCTATCTGCTGTGGAGAGTACCCTCACGCTGCTCCCGCCCCCCACATCACTCTCCCTTACTTGGCTGCCAGTCCAGCTGCCTTAGAATATCAGAAGAGGTGACATTTTCAGTTCTTTTCCTGTCTTAACTACAGGGTACAGAACAGGCAGCCCTAAGTGCTGCTTTCTGCGCAAATGTTTTTTGATTACAAATATCTAACTAGGTTTGAAATGTTTTATAGAATAAGACAATATTCTTTTCAACAAACTTTAAAAAAAATGTACAGTTTTGTTGTTTGTTTCCACCTCCCCCCACCCCCCTGCTTGCGCACCCTCCCCCACCCCCTCCCTGGCAGCTCAGCCCCACCCCGACAGCCCCTGTTTTCCTTGGTTGTGTTTTGAGGGGTGCTTGGCACCCTCTGATATTCAGCTTCATGGCTGACAGGTGACAACAGGAGGGGCTTCACCGATACCCTTGGTAACCGTAGTAGTTCCTGTAGTATCGGTCTCTGTCCTGGGGGTGGTGGTAGTAGTAATTCTGCCACTAGAAGAAAGGGGAAACCTCATCACTTGGAGCCAGAGCTGGTTGGGGATGAAGAGATGACACTCATCCTGCTCCTACCCCCCCCCACCTCTCTCTATCCCAAGAGATACTCACCTCCCGATTGTATTGTCTGTAATAGTCTCTGTATCTGTTGTACTCGTAATCTCGTGCATAGAATCGATCGTAGTCTCCCCTGTAGCGATCATAGAAATTACGGTAGCCCTGAGAAAGGAGAGAAAGTAGTAGTAAGCATTTACAGGTTTTCAGCAGCATGACCCACAGTTGGTTGCCCCCTTCTTCAAGACACATCTTAGCTTCATATTATAAATCAGGGTAAATCTTTTTCCCAGGATATATTCTTCCAGATGAAACATTAAGTGGGCAAAACCCTAAGCCCTGAAAAAACAGCCCAGACCCCTCTGCTCCCCCAAGCCAATAGGAATGGCTATCACGGCCCAGAGGGAGGAGCAGAAGGAGAGCTGCACTCACCCCTCTGTTTCCAGACTGCCCCCAGTACTGCTGCCCGTAGGCCCGGTTGTCGTAGCCTCGGCGCTGCCCGCCCACTGGAAGAGAAATGGAGAGCACGCTCAGACAGCTGGCGTGGGGTCCTGGCTCCACAACGGAGTGGAAATCAAAAAGTTGGAGCCAAAGGCAAATCTAAGGGAATAGGAGGCCTGCTTCAACCAGGCATATACAATGTTAATTAAAGCATTGCCAGGATTTTAAAGAGTCTGAGGGGGGAGGGCAGAGGAAAAGAGACACATGAAAACCGAGCCACCTTGCTTTTGAAGTTCCCCAATCCTGTAAAACATTTAAGATGGCAAAAGGAATACATGGCAGAATTAGAAACATGAGTAAAAACTGCCATTCGTCGGATCACAGACTTTCAACCTTGGAAATAGTCTTTCTAATTCTCCATGAGGACAGAACCTTGGGATTCTAAGTACCCAGCACCTAGCTGGCAGCACTCAAAGCCCTGACTTATGGTTACATACACACATACACAAACACATTCTTAAAGGCAGTGGATACACATGGAGGGGGCAGGGGTAGCAGACAAACTAGACATTCAGGGGGAAATAATTCCACCACTAGTCTAACTTGCTTTCTAACCTCCACCCCAGCCCACAAATTACTAAATGATGCATCTCCTTTCTAGTCTCTACAGCTGAGTTTATCCAAAAGACAAAGCACCAAGAAAAGAATCAGATTTCACTGCACAAATCCTTTCAATAAAGTGGTACAGTGAAGAGGGGAGCCCCTAAGTTCACATGAAAGCTACACAGAGAAGGTGCAGCACTGCTTGCCAAGGAAACACATATTTTTGCTGAAAAATAACTCTCTTTTTTGTTGGAGGATTATGGAAGAAGCAGAATTTGTAAAGGACACAGGAAGAAAGAAGCTCCATAAAGAAGGTGCTTCCTAACTGTGAGTGATTTGACTTGGTTTTCCTGGGTCTCCCTGGGCAATACAGCACAAAGAACAAACTGAGACTGGGGGCTGGCAGATCCCCAGGACTCACCATAGCCTTGGCCTCGGCTTCGGTTCTGCCGGTTACGCTTGTTTCGGTTGTTTCTGCGGTTTGTGCGCTTCTCTGAGGGGGGCAGCAGCTTCCGGGCCTCCTCCTTGTACTTAGTGACAATGGGCTGAGCTTCTTCCTTTTCCAGCTCACCGTATGTCACCTCATCCATATAGTCGCATTTTTCAGGCAGAGAGAAATTGGCTGCAAGGGTAAGAAAGCAGTTTGTAGGTCTGGAAAATACACAGATGGGTAAGAACTCATAAATTCTGGTACTGAAAGACATTGTGTGTGTGTGGCAGGGAATGAAACCCATGGCCAGGCAAATCCACTTAGCTTTATCTCCAGCCTGTTTTTTAAATAAGACCACCTATGTCCTAGTCTCAGACTGCTGATCCTTATGCCTTAAACTTCACTGTGCTGGGATTATAGGTGTGTACCACCTTGCCGGGTGGTACTTTGCTAACACTCTACCAAAACATCACTTCCAGCTTTTTTGATAGGATTACAGGCACAAGCCACTGATACCTGGCTGCCTAAGACTTTCTAAGCCTCACCTAGTAATACACACTCACTCATACTTCAATGATCAGGTTCATCTTTTTCTTAATCCTCATTTTTCCCTAAATTGTAATCTCTGCAAACTGTAAATTTACAAGGTCTCAAGTGATCTATAATAAATTAGCAGTGATGTGAGTTAAGGTTTCTTATCAGGAAAGAAGCACTGAAAGAGGCTAAAGTAACTGAGGAATTTTTGGTGTTGTTAGTTAAGTAATAAAGCTAAGAGACTTGAGCCTACAGGCCTTTTATTCATTGATACAAGAAAAGGAAACAAGAGTGCAAGCTTCTCTTTGCCATCTAGACACAATTGCCTAGCATATTGGCCAGTCTCTGGATGTCAAGTTCATAGGCTAAATCCCAGGAGAATTTACTCCAATGGACTCTTGTGGTTCTTGGATGAATCCGAGTAGCCCTATTTTGTGAAACTATACTAAATTCCTCCTGGAGCTGGAGTATCAATTATGAATTGGCAAAATTCACTCTGTACAAATTTAGAGGATTTAGCTCATGGCTGTGTAAATGTTTCCAAGGATAGTGATTATCAGTTTTGCTTTTTTTCTTGGTCAGTTGTGAGGCTTGAACTCTGGGCCTGGGCGCTGTCCCTCAGCTCTTTAGCTCAAGGCCAGCACTCTACGACTTGAGCCACAGCACCACTTCTGGCTTTCTGGCGGTTAACTGGAGATAGAGTCTCAGAAACTTTCCTGCCCAGGCTGGCTTTGAACCATCATCCTCAAATCTCAGCCTCATAAGCATAGCTGCTTATGAGGATTATAGGCGTGAGGCCAACAGTACCTGGCTGATTCTCAGAATTTGAAGAGCCAGGGGCTCACAGAGCAGGTGGCAGCTGTAAGCTGGAGACAGCAAGGGGAAATCAGGAAGTGAAACCAAGCAAACACTTAATACTACCTTGTGCAAAAAAAAAAAAAAAATACTACCTTGTGCAGACCTTGCTACATTAGCAATTCATCAAATACCAAAAATCAAAGAAAAGACCAAGACACATTGTACTTATTGTTGAATCCTTTGCACAATACAATGACAATAATAACAAAGAAAATCTTAAGGTAAATCGAAACAGAAGAAGCCTATATGACACCAGGAATCATACTACAATATTGAGATCATTCACTGTATAATCACATTTTAATTTGAATCCTAACAATTTCCTATTCCCTGTTTTCATGGAGTATAAATAATCTACAAAGGGGGAACCTCATTTCATATGTTATTTCCCCATGTCTAGGGCAGTACTGGCCAAACATACAACATAAACACTTCTTTACTAAATAACCCAAGGAAGCTTCTTTCTCAAGTTTTAGTTATCTTGTGAGCTATCATTATTTTTGTTTTTGGAGACAATACCACTATGTAGCCGAGACTGACTTTTTATTTTGGGTCCAGTTGTGGGGCTTGAACTCTGGACCTGGGTGCTGTCCCTCAGCTCTTCAGCTCAAGGCTAGCGCTCTATCACTTGAACCACAGCGCCACTTCCGGCCTTTTTCTTTTTTTCTGCTTATGTGGTGCTGAGAATCCAACCCAGAGCCTCATGCATGCAAGGAAAAAGCGCTCTACCACTGAGCCACCTTCCCAGCCCCCGAGACTGACTTTTAACTCAAGATTCTTCTGCCTCAGTCTCCAGAATCCTGGGATTACAGGAACATACCATCACTCTACACTACTTTCCTTTTCTATATCATAATCAGAATAAGTCAAGGGATTACTGCTTTTTCATTCATTCTGCTCATTTATTTACAAGAGCTTGCATGTATTCTTCAAATTCATACTTTTAGACACAGAGAATCACTCCTGGTGCTAAGAGGACCCAGTAGGGTAACAGGAACTCTTATATAATTTATCCCACCTTTCATCTCCAGCATTATAGACTCAGGAACGTCATCTCCCTCCACTTCTTTCCTCAACTCCAGCCTTTTTTTCCAATCTTCCTCATTAGGGACAACCACCACCACTTTCCGGGAGAAAGTCTTGAACAGCAACAACTTCCGCCTTTGGCCAGAATTGTACACATTACACTAAGAACAGGAGGAATAATAGATGGTTAATAAAAATTACAGTTCATTTCCAACCAAATTGAAGGCATCACATTGGGAGTCATATATACACAATCTTCTTTATTATTTTTTCCTTGCAATGCTGGGGATCAAACCCAGGACCTTGCACATGCTAGCCAAGTGCTCTACCTCTGAGCCATACCTTTACCTGTATATGACTGATACTATCTCATTTTGCATATCCCTAGAGATTAAAGAACAAGGATTTCTCCAAGATTCCAAACTAATTAAGTGGCAGACTGGGGAATCCAAACAAACTTTTTTTTTTTGGGTCCGGTGGTGGGGCCTGAACTCTGGGCCTGGGCACTGTCCCTCAGCTCTTCAGCTCAAGGCTAATGCTCTACCACTTGAGTCACAGCGCCACTCCCGGATTTTTTCTTTTTGCTTATATGGTGCTGAGGAATGGAACCCAGGGCCTCATGCATGCAAGGCAAGTGCTCTACCACTGAGCCACCTTCCCAGACTCCCAAACTCTATCACCTCTATTACCTGTACTTATATACTCAGGTAAAAAACTAGCAAAGAGTACTTTGTGATGTTAGTAGAAACAAACTAACAAATTACAACCATCGGATGGTCATAATTAGGTAACCTGATTAGATCTTTTTATTCAGTCCTCTCTACATATGCATCCAGCTTTTGATTATGAGCCACTCTGACAGATAGAATGTCAGAAGACATTTCATTTCCATCACCTCTGGATTCTCAGTAAAACCAAGTTCCTCTGAACGTTTGAACAATACCTGATCAAGAATGAAGTTCCTCTTTGTCCGGGAAGCAATCTGGACCAGCTTACTAAGGCACTGGGAGGCTTGCTGCACTAAAAGATCTCGGCTTTTGGGGTCCATCTCTGGTTCCTCAAGTCCCTTCATCTGACAAATGTAAGGAAGAGTGTATAAATACAAGGAGTCATGCAGCAAGTTAAAAGTTCACAGGTCATTGTTGCTACTGCTGCTGCTTCTTTGAATGCCGTTTCCACCATCCATCACATCACGTCATCCTTTTCCTCAGTGCTGTGAACTTTATCTAGTTCATAGTAGTCATTTAGTAGCCATAGTAGTCATTTTCACTCTCAACCTCAATATTGTCTAGATTTTAGACTTTCAGAAATTTGACATAGTAAAGGAAAGGAAAAAAAAATCCAGGGGCTGGGAAGGTGGATTGGTGGTAGAGTGCTTGCCTTGCATGCATGAGGCCCTGGGTTTGATTCCAGAAAAAGCTGGAAGTGGCACCGTGGCTCAAATGGTAGAGCGCTTGCCTTGAGCTGAAGAGCTGAGAGACAGCACCCAGGCCCAGAGTTCAAGCCCCATGACCAACAAAAAATAAAATTAAATAAAAAAAAAATCCATTTTAAACACTCCTCTATTTATGGGACCTTTGTTCTCAGCCATTTAAAAAACTAACTCTCCACTAAAGGACAAGTCAAAGGAGCTTCCTGGAGGCCTAAGAGCAAACACTATAGCTTGTTAACTTGTTAATCCTCCCAACAACTGACCCTCATTTGGTTGAGCACAGTCTCAGCTCCCAGGACATTGTATCTTTTCTCAGGATTTTCTTTTGCATAATTCAATGCCCACTGGGTCTTTCCAGATCCAGGTAGTCCTACCATCAGAATCACCTGCAAGCAAGCAGAACCCAGGATGTAATAGAAAATGAGACATTCTTAAAAAGCCAATTTAAGAACCATCCCAGTATGGTAATGTTTTCAGAATAGACCTGGAGAACATAACCACCCACCATTCAAGAGCATGAAACTGCGCTTCTAAATTCTGTTTGGCATACCTCACACTCCTCTGTGGTCTTAGGAGGGACTGCAGTGCGCACACGCTCCTCAACAGGCACAGCATGGATGAATACAAACTCTTCTGGTGGTTGAAAGAATGGTTCCTCCTTCTGACCAAAGTTTAATTCTACAACACAATTTTTGCAGAGGACATGGGGTAGAAGTGCCCGGTCTGCCAGAGATTCCTTGTTGATACGGAATGCCACACCTAGATCTTCCCCATTTTTGGAGAAGGAAAGTTCTACTTCTTCAGTCTCAAAATTCTGTAAGGACAAAGAATAGAAGCATTTCTAGGATGAAAACAGTTTAATGATGATTAAATCCTATCGTGTTTTTAAAACTCAGAATATGGCACAACACAAGCAATGTAAATGCTTAAAGTCAGCAGTTGATGGAAAACAGTTGAATTCCTAGGGCCCATATCCACTTTTTGCTATGAATCCACACCTCTTAGGAACACTTACAGCAAAACAGCCAATGACATCATTCTCCCCAAAAGTCTGACCAAATTCCTCAAACTGTCCATTCTCTGCCTTGAGTCCTCGTCCATCAAAACCATAAGAGAATTCATCTTCACCTAGAATAGTTGGTAAATCAGTTACCTGTCAAATTCTCAACAGTAACAACATGGTAACAGACACACCTACTAAAGAAACAAATTAACTTTACCAAGTTGTGGATGGGAAAAGTCAATGGACCACCCAACTCGAAGAAGAGAAACCTCCGCGCAGCCTTCTTTCATTGGGAGGTTCTGGGCTACCTAGCCAAGTCAGAAAAAGAACTGCTAAGATTCTGATAGATTCAGGAGCAAATTCTTGTTAAAAAGCAAATTATGTTTTTTGTTTTTTTATTTTTACAGAATGAAAATAACAACACAACTCAATATGAAGGTATAACTCACTGAACCGAAACCAAAACCACAGGGGTAGATTTCTTCTACTCTTACAGTTAATGCCTTTTCCTAAACTTACATATATTAATCAACAGGAGTCCAATGTATAATTTAATGGATAAACTGAATATTTTAAATGAGCCTCTTACCTTGGCCTCAAAGCAGACTTTTCCCTTTGTTATTCCATAAGTACTCCTTGCCCCAGACCAAAGGGTGGGGAACTTCTCTGAGAAAAGTGGCTGCCCTCCATAGCGGTCTTTGCTCACTTGAAAATGGAGATCTGAGGTATCTGTTTAGAAAGAAAGATTCAATTGGTCAACCATGTGATTCCCACAATTGAAACCTGCCAACAGAGGACAAGCATACATAGTTGTCCAGAATTGACACAAAGTTTCTTAGAATTTTCAGGCCAAGAAGTTTTAATCTCCAAAATCACTGTGGTGGTGGGTTTTTGTTTTTTTTTTTTGTGGTGGTGGTGGTCCTGGGACTTGAACTCAGCCTGAGTGTTGTCCCTGAGCTGCTTTTTGCTCAAGGCTAGTACTATCACTTGAGCCATATCTCCACTTCTGGCTCTTTTGGTAGTTTATTGGTGATAAGAGTCTCACAGACTTTCTTGCCTGGACTGGCTCTGACCACTATCCTCAGATCTCAGCCTCCTGAGCATCCAGGATTACAGGTGTGAGCCTCCAGTGCCTAACTTCCAAAATCACTTTTAGGCATTACTCCAGAGGCTGAGGAAGGAGGTCAACCTGGGCTACCCGATGAGTTCTAGGCCAGCCTGGGCTACATAGTAAGACCCTGTTTCAACACCAAACAAAAACCCCTCCAAACAATCTATCTGCCTTATACATACACGTGTCCAGGTTCACAAGAGTTTGATCCTCCTCCTCATCTTTTGCCTCTTCTTCTGGAGGTGGTGGTGACTTTGAGCTATATGCAGTGGGAAAGAAAAGCAAATAGAATGTAACAAAGGCCCTTCTCTTTGGGGGCGGTATCTGCATGGCATCATGTCCATTTTAAACTACCAGTGAATTTCAAATCCCAGCAGACAGCTTCTTTCAACAAATAAAGCAATAGGAGCTTCCATGGTATATTCACTCTAAAACTTATGCCTATAAAAACCTATTCCATTTTTCAATCCACCCCTCCTTCCAGACTATCCAGTCAATACCAGGTTTACCAAAATCAGAGCAGACACTCCCTTCAAGGAAAAGGGACTGTTTCCCTCACCGGCTGTGGTAAGCCTCCTCTCGGAATTCATAGTAAGCTCGGCCATGTTCATCCTTCTCATCCCGCTGTCTCTTTACCCCCCGCCGCTCACCATCTGAGCCTGCTGGTTTTGACTTTTCACTATCTTGGTCATCTCCTACAAAAAGGAGGGAAAGAAAATCAGCAGTTTTTATACTGGAGTGTAGAATAAGCTCAGAATCAATAAAAACTAAAGGGGATCTAAGTTATGTGTCTAATCAAAACGGTCAAGTTATTTTCATTTATCCACTAAAAATTTTATTTCCAAAGGTCATTTTCTTATCAATGGCTGGAATTTTATGGGGAGGGGGGTGTTATTAGCTAATTACTCAAGCAGCAGATTAAAAACTGGGCAATTTTATATTCTAAATTTATCTACGTAAATCAGGTCAAACTTGTAGATTATCCCATTAAAATAACAAAAAATATCCCCTAGGTCTTCTGAAAACCTGCACAGGTTAACTCTTTAACTCTTATGAGATTTGGATATAAGATAGGCACTTACATTTTCTAACAATTTGCCACAACTTTGTAACACAGATGTCTCAGATTTTTAAGAGTCTGCCTTTCCTTCATTAAAATGTACAGCCATTCAATGGCTTTTACTTATACATTATGGCAAGTGAACAAAAGCGCAAGATAGCTATATTTTTATCAGGAATTTTTAAACTGAAAGTTACAAGAAAACCATTGTCACGTGAGACCTGTAAATAATCCTGCAACTCTACTGCACATAATTTGGGGCAGAAAAGTGTTGTCATATACTTAGTAACTTCTCTATAAGAAGAAAATGCCCAGGAGTTTTCCCCTAAGCTTTTCTATTTTGTGACACTAATAATTTCTTTAAAGCAGTCCCACAGGGCTTTATCCTTCCGAGTTTCTTATCTATTTAGGATACAGACAAGTCAAAAGTTATGTAATAGGATTTTTGTTCCAGGACATAAGATGCATTATAAGACTATAGTAAAACATGTTCCAACTACACCACGTTGATACTCAATAACAATGGAAAAAGCATTATAAAGATAACACAACTTACTTTCTTTAAAGACTTGGAGGTAACTCCCTTTTCCCAACCTACTCTGATTCTGTAACGGACCAGCTATACAATCAGTTTAAAAGAAAAGAGAAGATCACCAATTCTCTGGGGGCATCGTTACACACCTGCCACAAGGTTACTAACTGAACCCTCCAGAACCTCAACTCAGGAAGTCAGAATATCTGCAAAGGGAAAGGTAGCACCTATCTACTGACTCGGTGGGAAGATGAAAATTTAATCCTAGACAAGAAACTATTCTAAATGCACTAAACTAATATTTTCTCTTCTCTAGTTAACCATTAAACCCAACAAGCTCACACTAGACGCTGTTCCCTGCCGATCAAGCAAGATTAAAGTAGGACGTCCAGATTTTCTGTGTGGCTCAAGATTTGGCAATGTGCTTTTGGCAGAGCGGACTTTGCCGGACCCTGTTTATTGCTTCATACTTATTGCAGTGAGAAAGTCAACAGTCAGGTAGCCCTAAGGCCTAATCCTCCAACTGTCAGTCTAGCGGTCCCTGTAATCACCAATTTCTCAGCACATTTTTGGGTAAGATAACCAGGGCAAGCACCGGAAGAGAATACTCCACAGGTAGCTCGCATGCCAAACCATTCACTTCCACACACCGGCAGCACGGAACCAAGTTAAGCAGAGACCTCTCTCCTGCAAAGAGCCAAGCCACAGAGGCCGCCAGACCCTTTGGAAAGATGGGCAGAGAAAGAAGCGATGTTCCCTCGGGGAGTCGCATCAGCAAGCGACGGGAATCATGCACTTTGGGGCAAGAGGGAACAAGGGCTAGAACCCTGCGGTGCAGGGCGGGGTGCCGGCTCACAGGCGCACGAGGCAGGACGGAACCAGGCTCCGCTGCCAGCTCCTCACCCTGCTCCTCTGCGGCCTTGTCACCCGGTGCCTCGGATCCTGGCGTCTCGTCCCCGCTCCGTTCCTCCGGCTCGTCTTCCTCCCCCTTGCCGGTGCCTTGCTCTTCGCCACCATTTACCCCACCTGACTCGGCCGTGGCCTCGGTCGGCAGGTCGGAAGTATCGGGCTCGGGCTCGGCCTCCATGGCTGCCACCTCCGGGGGCTCCGGCGGCGGCTGCGCGGCCTGGTCCGAGGCCTGAGCAGGGGGTGGCTCCTCGTCCTCGTCCTCAAGCAGCGCCTCCTCGTCCTCCTCCTCCTCTTCGTCCTCCTCTTCGTCCCCGCCCGGGCCGCCGCCCGCCGGGGCCACAGGCCGAGGCTCCGCCTTGCAGGCCCCGCCGGGCCCGGCCCCGCCGCCACCGGCCTCGTCCTCAAGCATCTCGGCATCCAGAGCTTCCTGCAGCCGCTGAGCCAGATCCATCTTGAGGCCGCGCGAATCCAGGCCGCGCCGCTGCAGCTCTGACCGCAGCTCGGTCACTTTCAGCCGCTTCACCTCCATCGCCGCCGCCGCCTCCTCCGCCTCCCGCCGCCTCCTCCCCTGCGAACCGTCGACCGAGTCCGACCGCGCAGGCGCCGCCGCCGCCGCCCGCCTCCGCCTCACGCGCCAGTACTGAGCCCGCGCGAGCGAGTGCACGCACGGATGCAGCGGCGAAGGCCGAGATGTGCCCGCAGCGTAGTGTTTGGGTCGCTTTCCTCTTCCCTCCCCCTTTAGGCTCCGGGATCCCAAAACAACGCAACGCAGCACCGCTTTCCTTCCAGGCCCCGGGTTCCCTACCGAGGACGGGCGCGCGCAGAGGACGACGGAGTTCCCTCCCTCGCCCCACCCCTTTCGCCTCCCCGGACCAATCAGCGTCTGCAGTATTACCGCGCAGCCTCGCAGAGGTCTGACGCGGGGAAGGCTGGCGGTGGCTCAAGTGCCTCGTAGCCCGGAAACGAGTGCGCGCCCGACTTTCCGTACTTCAGCCAGGCGTTCTGCGCAGCCGCACGGAGGAGCGCCTCCCACCCTCTCACAACCAGTACTTCCGGCTCACTTTCAATTACCGCGAAATCCTAGGGCTCGCGCCATGCCCTCACTTTTCTCCGTGAATGTAGAATATTCTGGAGAATAAAAACAAAAGAAAAGCCGGATGGCACGTGTTGCAATATGAGAGCCTTCCAGTAAAGCATTTTCGTACCTACTGGAAAAGGGATCTGCAGAACCAAGAAATACAGTAACACCTGGTGGCCCCCTTTTAACATCTAAAGTTCTACCCAGCAACAGACGCCCTGATCCCGCCTTTTCGCCTTTTCATTGGCCAGCTTGAATCGTCGCCTGGCGCTCTGATTGGTCATGCGTGTTCGCCTGGGGTTTGGGTTTTTTTCCAATTGGCGAAGCGGCTGGGACTTATTTATTTATTTCGGTGGGGTGGGGAGGGGAGAGTTGTTCCGCTGGGCAGGTGGGGTCGTTTCTGGGGGATTACTTTTCTAGAGCTGCTTCTGGTTGGACGGCCTGGGCGCAATGCGCGCGACCCTTAAGATGCCAAACTGTGGAACGTGTGACCCTTTCCTGTCCAGGCTCCGGCCCTTAAACTGAAGCCCGAGAGACTTCCGGGCTCGGGCCTGCGCGGAGGGCCCAAAACCAGAGTGCCTCTGCGGCAGACTCCGCCTCGCCTTCAGATTGAGAATACGGATCCCATTCTCCTCGGTTCCCCAGCTCACAGAAGTCGACATCAATAAATGTAATATCGAATAAGGACAAATAAAGAGCTAGGAAGCAGTAAAACCCTCCTTTGGTAGCGGTTGTACCACCGGCTTTCACTTCCGGGTCGGGGTGGGGGTGTCGCTGAGAAAAGGGGAAGCCGATTTTGCAGACCTTAGCACGGCGGCCTCTAATCATCAGTTCGGGCCTTGTTTTTCCCCCCCAAAGTCTCCTTATCCCGTGATTCCCAACTTAGTCCTTGGCTTGACTATTCCTCATCCCCTTTAACTAGTTTCCTGCACTTTTTAAGTCTGAAAATACTGTAAAGAGGAGAAGCAGGGGCTGTAGAAAAGCCCTCAAAGCTCACCTGCCCGCCCCCCCCCTTTTTTTTGAGAACGGTGATTTTCCACCTTCCTTAGCTGCCCGAGAAACAGTTATTTCAATCCCAATCCCGAGCTTCATTTGCTCTTTTCCCTTTCCGATTCTTTAAGAGCCCTGGGCCACCAAGCGTTATGGAGAAGCGCCTGCAGGAGGCTCAGCTGTACAAGGAGGAAGGGAACCAGCGCTACCGGGAAGGGAAGTACCGGGATGCCGTGAGCCGGTACCACCGAGCTCTGCTTCAGCTGCGAGGGCTAGACCCGAGTCTGCCTTCCCCGATTCCTAGTCTAGGCCCACAGGGCCCGGCTCTTACACCCGAACAAGAAAACGAACTGCACACCACCCAGACAGACTGCTACAACAATCTGGCTGGTAAGAACAGGGCTGCAGGGTGGGTAGAGAACATTAAATGTGAGCTTTGGAGAAAACAACAAACAAGATGTTCATGTCTACTACAATCCAGTTTATTCTGACGTGAATTGAAATATGTTTCTAAGCTGGGCACTTGGTTCACACCTGTAATCCTAACTACTCAAGAGATTGAGATCTGAAGATCGCAGTTCAAAGTTAGCCCAGGCAGGACAGACTGTGAGACTGTCATCTCCAGTGAACCACAAAAGAGCTCGAAGTGGGCTGGGTAGGTGGCTGAGTGGTAGAGTGCTTGCCTTGCATGCATGAGCCCCTGGGTTCGATTCCTCAGCACCACATAAGCAGAAAAAGCCGGTAGTGGTGCTGTGGCTCAAGTGGTAGAGTGCTAGCCTTGAGATAAAGATCCGAGGGACAGCCCCCCAGGCCAAAATAAATAAATAAATAAAAATTAAAACCAGTCAATCTTCAGTGCTTGAATTCCTTATTTTTTCCCCCTCCTCTAGCCGGTAATTTGAACTCAGGGCTTCACAGATGTTCTACTTACTTGCTCATCCTCAACCCTGAGCTAAGCCCATAGCCCTGCTTTTTTTTTTTTCCCCCTTGGTCTTGGGGCTTGAACTCTGGGCCTGGGTGCTGTCCCTCAATCCTCAGCTCAAGGCTAGTACTTTACCACTTGAGGCACAGTACCACTTCTGACTTTCTGAGTGGTTTATTGGAGATAAGAGTCTCACAGACTTTCCCTGCCCACGCTGGTTTTGAACCATGATCCTCAGATCTCAGTATCCTGAATAGCTAGGATTATAGGCATGAGCCACCAGCACCCGGCCATAGCCCTGCTTTTTATCTGGTTGTTTTGGAGACAGTCTTGCCGACTTTTCTACCTGAGCTAGCTAAATAGTTAGGATTACAAGCTTGAGCCACCAGCATGTGGCTCAGAGCTTGAATTTTTTACTTTTTTTTTTTTTTTTTGGTCATGGGGCTTGAACTCTGGGCCTGGGCACTGTCCCTCAGCAATTCAGCTCAAGGCTACCACTTGAGTCATAGTGCCATTTCCTGTTTTCTGGTGGTTTATTGGAGATAAGAGTCTCATGGACTTTCCAGCCTGGGCTGGCTTTGAACTGAAATTCTTAGATCTCAGTTTCCTGAGTATCTAGGATTACAGGCCTGAGTCACCGGCATCATGCAATACTGTACATTATTAAAAAATAGAATATGTACTAAGGAACTGACCAAAAAGCAAGGAAAGAAGATGCTTTACTTGGGAATATGTGTAAATATCTTGACTCTCCAGGTGGACTTGAAGGCAAGGACTATTGTGACATAGCCCTCTCCAGAATCTCTAGGAGTATTTGATAGATGTTCCATAAAGACTCACTAAATTAGCAATTTTCATTTACTGAGTGCTTATAACACAGTGAGCAGTTTATTTACAGTGTTTATTGTCATGAATGTTTTACAAAATGTGTAATGATTATTCTGATTTTTACAGATGACAAATCAGAAAATATCACAGCCTAAAACATGTTGATGGCATCTCATTATATTTAGGGAAAAAAAATCTAAACTTTAACCCTCTTCTGCAGTACCTAATTAGACCTGGCTTCTCTATACACTAAATGCTGACAAACCATATTTCCACCTCAGGTTATGTGAGCTAACAATTACTCTTGAGCTAGAATGCTCTGTTCCTTGAATGACCCTTGTTATTGAGAGCTAGATTAAAAGTCACTTGAGAGTATGTATGCATGTGTATGGTTAGACGCACTATGGCTGTCAAACCCAGGTCTCACACATGCTAAGCACTCTACTGTTTGGGGTGTGTGTGTGTGTGTGTGTGTGCACTCTACTGTTTGGGGTGTGTGTGTGTGTGTGTGTGTGTGTGTGTGTGTGTTGGTCAGTTATGGGCCTGAATTCTGGGTCTGGGCGCTGTCCCTCAGCTCAGCTCTTTAGCTCAAGGCTAGTGGTCTACCACTTGAGCCTATTTTTCTGGTGGTTAATTGGAGATAAGAATCTCATGGACTGTCCTGCTTGGGCCTCCAAAAGTAACTTTCTTAGAGAAGCCTTCAGTACCAAACAGCAGTCTGACTTCATTTACTCTCTCTCCCAACCCAGTTTTATTGTCTTCAGGTAAAACTTTCAAAATTTCATGTTTGTTGTATATTCTCCCCTTGGAGACTAGGAAGCACAATCTGTGTTAATTATCAACATGTCTTGCCTTAGCCAGGCACCAGTGGGTCATACCTAGAAACTTAGCTATTCAGAAGGCCAAGATCCAGAGAATTATGGTTTGAACCCAGCCCAGATAGAAAAGTTACCAAGACTCCCATCTCCAAGATAACTAGCAAATAGCTGGGCTGGAAGTATGGCTCAAGTGGTAGAGCACCAAGTGGAACAAGCAAGCTGAGCAAGTGCAAGCTGAGTTCAAGCCCACCTGGAGTGGGGTGGGCATGAAGATCTCTCTTGTTCCTCTCATCTTTTGCTCCTAGTTCAGTGTCTGCACATGCTCAGATTAATGCTTCATTCCTGTCAAATGAATTAATGAAAAGCTAGTAAGAGAGGTGGATTAATTGACTGCTGGGGAAATAGCTCAGTATAAACTCTATGAGCACTTGGTAGGGGTATTGGAGAAAGGAAGCACACATAAGCCCAGGCTTTTGTTCTCATCATCCCTGAACCTTGGTTCAGCTCAGAACCATGATAGAATATTTGTATGTTTAATTTTAATAGTTGTGAAATAAGGAGCATATTTCCCTGCTCTAAGATAGGAAATAATGAATTTGGATATTGCCTCTGAGCCAGGGTTTTATTTTGAGCCTTTATTAAATCATCCAAGAGGATAGTGATATATTGTCATTGAAAATGATAAGAAAGCCAGGTGCTGGTGGCTCACACCTGTAATCTTAGCTACTCAGAAGGCTGAGATCTGAGGATCACCGTTCAAAGCCAGCCCAGGCAGGAAAGTCCATGAGACTATTATCTCCAATAAACCACTAGAAAATTGGGTGTGGGGCTGTAGCTCAAGCGGTAGAATGCTGGCCTTTTGCTGAAGAGCTGAGAGATAGCATTCAGGCCCAGAGTTCAAGCCCCACAACCCACCAAAAAAAAGAAAAGAAAATGACAAGAAGCTGACATCGGTGGCTCACGCCTAAAAATCTTAGCTACTCAGGAGGCAGAGATCTCAGGAATAAGGTTCCAAGCCAGCCAGCCAGAGCTGGAAAGTCCGTGAGATTCTTATTCCAATAAACCACCAGAAAACCAGACGTAGCACTGTGGCTCAAGTGGTAGAGCACTAGTCTTGAGCAGAGAAGCTCCAGGACAGCACCCGGGCCCATGACTGACACAACTGGTAAGATGGGAGAGTTTGAAAATGTAATGAAGATGACATATATTTTCATGCTGAAGTTAGGATAATACATAGCACTATGTACACAAAAGGCAATTGGTAAATACTGAAGTAGATTTCAAGGATGTATGGCTTTTATTTACTGCTGTGTTTCCAGTACCTAATAGAGGGTGTGGCACCTAGGAGACACGTGAGTATTTGTTGAGTAAGTGAACACTGGGGATGCCCTTGAAGTGGTCTGTGGAATCTGTTACAATAAGCCTCTCCACCTTCTTCATTCAACCTTTAATTTTGTCCACTAGCCTGTCTCCTTCAGATGGAGCCAGTGAACTATGAACGAGTGAGGGAATACAGTCAGAAAGTTCTGGAACGACAGCCTGATAATGCCAAGGCCTTGTATCGAGCTGGAGTAGCCTTTTTCCATCTGCAGGACTATGACCAGGCTCGGCATTACCTCCTGGCTGCTGTGAATAGGCAGCCTAAAGGTGAGTGAGAGGGGAATTGAAGTGGTGAGGACAAATATCTGTCCTGCTCTCAACATTATGAAATGATCAAGCTGGGCACTGGTGGCTTACCCTTGTAATCCTAACTACTCAGAAGGCTGAGATCTGAGAATTTCAGTTCCAAACCAGCCCCAGCAGGAAAGTGCATGAGATTTTTTTTTGTCCATCGTGGGGCTTGAACTCTGGGCCTGGCCACTGTCCCTCAGCTCTTCAGCTCAACTGGAGCACGCTACCACTTGAACCATAGCACTCCTTCCAGTTTCCTGGTGGTTTATTGGAGATAAGAGTCTTAACAGACTTTCCTCCCAGGGCTGGCTTTAACTGCAATCCTCAGATCTCAGCCTCCTGAGTAGCTAGGATTACAGGCGTGAGCCACCAGCTCCAGGCTTTCTTGTACCCTTTTTTTTTTTTTTTGTCAGTCATGGGGCTTGAACTCTGGGCCTGGGCGCTGTCCCTCAGCTCTTCAGCTCAAGG